GTATTTCAAAATATCTGTCATGGCGAGTATTCACGCAAACATAATCTGTTATATCTTAAGTGAACATTTGGTTTACTGTTGGGGACAAATATCTGATGTGTAACATTATATTATATCCGTGCATTACAGTAGGTCTTAATATATAGGCCGTCTGTCTCATTAAAGGGGTCATGAACTGAGAAATCAAAATTCCCTTGATCTTTTGACATATAAGAGGTCATTGTACTATAAAAACATCCTGTACGTTTCAGAACTTTCTCGTCTAAAAACAGCTTATATTGAAGCCAATCTGCCAAAACGACAGGTTGTGGAATGTTCTGCTTTATGATGTAACAGTGTGGCTAAACCCTGCCTCCGCAGAAGATCATCAATGCCTGCTTCTACATCACTGCATGTTTAGCTCCGCCCACCGATTCACACATGTAGTGTAAAAAAACGAGAGGCAAACGCAGAAACCAAACGATAAAGATGCTGTTCAGTGCCAAGTTGTGGAAAAACACAGTCTTTGCATTGCTTTCCTTCTGATCATTAGAAAAGAGTGGGTGAACTTTATTTTTAATGAAGATCCAGACCGCCTCAGTAAGAACTTGGTCCTTTGTTCATTTCATTTTACTGCAGATTCATTTACAAACAAGGCACAATTCAACACTGGATTTTCAGAAAGATTGAAACTAAAATACGATGCTGTGCCGACTATATCAGATCCGACAGTAATGTCACACCACACAAGTGTGAGTAACTGTTTTTATAATGTGGTCACTATTGCTTTGTCTGTTATTACAGATCGTTTAATAAGTACTGAGTATTTATGCATTTTTAACCTAAATCACAGCAGCGGCCGTCCATCTATGAAGCATGTAGGCTGTCAAACACACACAGCTGTTAGCCAATCATAGCAGTGGGCGTTTACTTCCGAGTCTACAATCCACCACATCTATTCAAACAGAGCGTTCTCATTTGAAGAGGATCAAAACAAGACAGAAAATAGCCTATTACTTCTCAATTATGATGTTTTTCTATGTACAAATTTTGGTAACATTATAAGCGGACCTCAGAGAACAGTACAAAATAATAAAAAAGGTTCATGACTCCTGTAATGTTAATCAAACAATAAAAGAGAGAGGGAATCACTCCGTGCTCTTGATTGAACTACACTAACGGCTATGCAGTGATTTTTGCATTTGATAATTTGTTTTTCTTGAATGATTCTTTTTAGATGTAAAATGAAGAAACCACTGTTAATTTAATTTTTCTTTCTTATATTTGTTCTACTGTTTATTTGCATCTTTGCTCTTATTTTTAATAACAAAGATATGATGATAATAAAATATGTTATGCTTAATATAGTAATTATTATTAAGAAAAGATTTGGAGGAACAGATGCATCGAGAATCATTTTATAGTCGAATCGTTACCCTCTGAATCCTGAGGCAAGTGAAGATTCACACCTCTTGTCGCAATAACATCTTCTGTGATTGGTCAAAACACCCCACATGGTGAATTTTGGTATCATAGAAAAAAAAAACATATCTTTTTCCTATAGATTGGTGTATGCTGTTTTTGGTGATATTTCCAGAGATTTTAAGGTATGGATGCTAGGTGATTTTGTTTTGGAACCTTCAGAAACCTTTAACTAGATTTTTCTCAAAACTGACTTTGCTGACTCTATCGACTTCAAACAGGTGTAGCTCAGTCATTTTTTTTGTCCGATTCCAACAAATCATACATCATTTTGAAGGTTTTTTTAATACAGAATGAAATGAAAATAACAGTAACTCATTGTCCAAGTTGGTAGTTACTGATAATACTATTGACTGCATTGCCCCAGTTCCACGCAAATTTGAATGAAATATGTTGTTTGTGTGCAGGATTTCTGTGCCACAATTCTGGATGTGCTGACACCTGATGATGTGCGTGTGCTGGCAGAAAGTGAGGATGAGTTGAGTCGTAAAGGAGATTTTGAACGAGTTTTTCCCTCTCATGCTTCCTCCCGGTACCTCCGTTTCTTTGAGCAACCACGCTACCTCAACATCCTCCTCAACCAATGGGAACAGACATACTGGCTCAACAGGAGCAAAGGTGTGTGTTTGGATTGCACTGTGCTATGACCTGTAACTCTGACCTGGTTTGTGTAGCTATCCATTTTGACTCTTTCCATATTTTGTTTAGGTATCAATCTACTGAGGGATTTGTGTGAGAAGAGGGTGCACCTGGGGAACATGGCAGATTCTGTTCATCACGTAAGTACTTATGAGAATGCCACTCTACCACAGTAGCTGCTTTTAGGAATTAGAGGTTTTTGATACAATTACCACAGAAAAGTAATTGAACCATGAAAACAGTTGTGACAGCAATGTGACGTATTTCTGAGTGAAACAGAATAGGGGTTATTATACTAAAACCAGGGGTTATTAACCCTCTGGGGTCGGCAAATGTGCCAGCGCGTTTTAGTGGTTTTTTTCCTGATAACGCAGCAAATAACTTAAATTACACTGTCAGTTTTGATCGTACAGATAAGAGCAATACATTTTATTTGAGTACACTCATAATAACAACAAAATGCTGTGTTTTGTAAAATTAGGAAAACAAACAGGGTGTGCTTTCTGCCATCTCAGTCTGCCTGAACTTCTTTCTGAAACACGACACAAAAATGAACCCAAACACAGCAAATATTTTACACACAGACATGAGAGATAAACTACCAGTCAAATGTTTGGGATCAGTAAGACTTGTAATGTTTTTTAAAGAAGTCTCTTATGCTCATCAAGGCTGCATTTATTTGATCAAAAATACAGAGAAAAAAAAACAGTAATCTTGCAAAATGTTATTACAATATAAAATAATGGATTCTATTTTAATATCCTTTAAAATATCATTTATTTCTGTGATGCAAAGCTGAATTTCCATCATCATTACTCCA